CCCTAAACCCTAAACCCTAAACCCTAAACCCTAAACCCTAAACCCTAAACCCTAAACCCTGAACCCTGAACACGCGCCCACAACCCCCGCAAGCGCCGGCTACCGCAAAGAAGCGGAAACCGCACACAGCCTTCTAGCGCTGACCCCAGACAGGAAAAACACCCTAAACCCTAAACCCTAAACCCTAAACCCTAAACCCTAAACCCTAAACCCTAAACCCTGAACCCGCGCCCGCAGCCCACGCAAGAGCAGCAGCCGCAAAGAAGCGAATGCAGCAGATAGCCTTCAACCAATGGCCCCAGAGTGAGCACAAATAAAACACCCTACGCCGTAAACCCTAAACCCTAAACCCTAAACCCTAAACCCTAAACCTTAAACCCTAAACCCTACCTCTGCCGACCACTCGGACAACGTCCAAGTCTTTGAATTCGACTTTGGTGTCTTGCATGCGAATGCGCTCCTCCAAGTGGGTGAGCATGGGCCCCTAGAGCATCCACCCCAAACCCTAAACCCTAAACCCTAAACCCTAAACCCTAAACCCTGAACCCTCCCGCCTCTGCGCGTCCACCCCGTGCGACCCAGACCTCCCCCGGAGCCCCCTTTTCCGCAGTCCGCCCCTGTTCCCTCCGTAGCGGCTAGGGTTTAGGGTTTGGGGTTTAGGGTTTAGGGTTTAGGGTTTACTTTGACGATTTGGAGGAAAACATCTTTGTCAACAACCCACAAATCCACCTCCGGACTGTTTGCTGCTACTGTTGCAGACCGCCGCTCGTCGTGCAGCAAAGCCCTCTCGCCGAAGTAGTCGTGGCGGCCCAGCGTGCGCACGCGCTTTTCGCCCTTCAGAATCACCACTTCTCCCTGAGGCGCAAACCCTAAACCCTAATTTAGGGTTTGGCTCATTCCCGCGCCCCCACAAGCGCTCCGCGACTCCCCACCCACGAAACAGAAACTCCGCTCCGCGCGCCTCCATCCATGCGGCTTCCGAAGTAGGGTTTAGGGTTTAGGGTTTGGAGCTAGGGTTTAGGGTTTGGAGCTAGGGTTTAGGGTTTGGAGCTAGCGTTTAGGGTTTGGGGTTTACAAGCTTGATGATGAAGAACCGAGACCCTATTTCGCCCTCCCGAATGATGGATTCCCCTTGAGTGTATCTGCACGCCAAACCCTAAACCCTAAACCCCAAACCCTAATTACCCCAAACCCTAATTTAGGGTTTGCGGGGTCGGCGCGAAAGCCGGCGCCGCGGAAAAAGCAACCCGCGAGCGGCCCGAGGGTTTAGGGTTTAGGGTTTAGGGTTTACCTGACGGTCTTGAAGGCCTTGATTAGGGTTTGCGTTTGCTGCTCCGACAAATACCTAAAAATATACATCTTTTTCGTAATCGCTAATTTGTTGTTATAGTCGAGGGTTTCGTCAATGTCTTGTCCCCCCAAAGTGGCGGTCAGCGCGCTAGCCGTCAGCAGCGCCAGCTGCGCGCAAACCCTAAACCCTAAACCCTAAACCCTAAACCCTAAACCCTAAACCCTGGGCCCTAGGACGGCAGCGCTCGCCCTCGCGCCGCAGGCGCCCCAGCAGCGCCCGCGCCCCAAACCCCAAACCCTAAACCCTAAACCCTGAACCCGACACCCTCGACGCGTGCTCCCCCGCCGCCTTCAATGACGGGCCTAGGGTTTAGGGTTTAGGGTTTAGGGTTTAGGGTTTGGCTCGCCTTCGTCGGCCCGTTGCTCTTGACGCAGTGCGCAAAGGGTTTGTTCGGAGACAAAACATATTCATCTCCAAAAGCTTGTCCCCTTTTTAGGGTATCTATGAGGTGCAGCTCCATTTCCCCTTCCGCGCTGCTGCTGCTGCTGCTGCTGCTGCTGCTGCTGCTGCTGCTGCTGCTGCTGCTGCTGCTGCTGGACTTGTCTTTGTAGGCAAACACAGAAACCTCTCCCTCCAACACGAAAAAGAAACGCACGCCTTGCGCCGAGAACAGCGCCGACGCCGACGCCTGAACCCCAAACCCTAAACCCTAAACCCTAAACCCTAAACCCTAAACCCTAAACCCTAAACCCTGAAGCCTGGGCCTGGACTCCCGCTCTCCCAGTAGCCCTAAACCCCATTATCCCGGGAACCGTTTGCGTCGCCCCCTGCGGGCTACTGCAGCTGCAGCTCTGCGCTAGGGTTTAGGGTTTAGGGTTTAGGGTTTAGGGTTTAGGGACCCTTGTGCGGTTTTCTCGATCCAAAATTATATAATTCTCGGGATAGTCCTTAACCACCACAGAACCAATTAAGCGGCTCAGCTGCTCCGTCGGAAAAGAGGCGAAGACCTTGCTCTGCTGCAGTGCTGCATCGCAAACCCTAAACCCTAAACCCTAAACCCTAAACCCTAAGCTCTCGGCCTCTGCAGGCCGCCGCAAACCCTCCGACAAACCCCAAAAACCCTAAACCCTAAACCCTCGTCTGCATGCGCGACGGCAGCGTGCGGGGTCGCGCTCGGCGGCGGCTGGGGTTCACGGCCTAGGGTTTAGGGTTTAGGGTTTAGGGTTTAGGGTTTAGGGTTTACCCTCGAGCATAATGTTGCGGAAAAGCACGTGCTGCAGATTTCCCAAAACCCTGTCCAAAAGGTCTCTGCCAATGGAGACGCAAACTGTCGGTTCTTCTGCTGTTATTGTTGCACTTCGAGGTTCGTCATAAAGCAGCGCCCGCTCGCCAAAGTATTCTCCCCGCTGCAGCAGCAGCAGCAGCAGCAGCAGCAGCAGCAGCAGCAGCAGCAGCAGCAGCAGCAGCAGCGGCGGCGGCGGCGGCAGCGGCAGTGCAGCGCAGGGGATGACGGCGAAAGAAACAGACGCAGCGGACACTCAGCACGGCATCCGCAGCAGCAGCAGCAACAGCAGCAGCAGCAGCAGCAGCAGCAGCAGCAGCTCCTGCTGCTGCTGCAGCAACCTATCTCAGCAGCAGCAGCAAAGCCTGGGCGCCTCCCGCAGCTCGACCGTTTCTTGCGGAGAGCCGTCCCCAAGCCCCAAACCCCAAACCCTAAACCCCAAACCCTAAACCCCAAACCCTAAACCCTAAACCCTAAACCCTAAACCCTACCTGGAGAACTCGGACTTCTTTGTTTTTGATGGACACGAGGGCTTTGCCACTTTTTAAAATGTAAAGAACATCTCCTTTTTCTCCTTCCTTAACAATGGCCTGGCCGGGCTGGAAAGACTGCACCACCAGTGCGTTGGTTATCTGCGCGCAAACCCTAAACCCTAAACCCTAAACCCTAAACCCTAAACCCTAAACCCTAAACCCTAAACCCTGGAGCTGGGGAGCCCCGAGCCATTTAAAGGCGTAGGCGCACATTGAACGCGCGCCCCAGCAACGCACCTTACGCAGCGTATATGCCCAAACCCTAAACCCCAAACCCTAAACCCTAAACCCTAAACCCTAAACCCTAAACCCTTGTACATACCACATTCTTCTGGGCCTCCGTCAACATCTCAAAGAACTTCACAGAAGCCAAGAACTGTCGGTTCTCGGCAAAGTTTCTGCTGCTCAGCTGCTTCAGGGTTTCCCTGAAAAAAAGAAAAGCATGTTGCTGCTGCTGCTGCTGCTGCTGCTGCTGCTGCAGCTGCTGCTGCTGCAGCAGCTGCTGCTGCTGCGGCGGCTGCTGCTGCTGCGGTTGCGCTGCCGCTGCCGGCGGCCCACGGCTGCCTCTCCGTCCCCTCCGCCCTCCGCAACCCTAAACCCTAAACCCTAAACCCTAAACCCTAAACCCTAAACCCTACCTGAAGACTTGTCGCTGGACGCCCCACAAAGCTGCATCTTCGCTGAGGGTTTTGATTGTTGCAGTTCTTGCAGAATTATGAATTAAAGAAATTTCCCCGAAGGCTTGGCCAGTGAGAATCTTGTTCACCACTTTGTCGTTCACAATCACCTAAACCCCAAACCCCAAACCCTAAACCCTAAACCCTAAACCCTAAACCCTAAACCCTAAACCCTAAGCCCTAAACCCTAGATTCTAAACCCTCGAGGGGCTGCAGGGCAGCGCTTCCTAGAGAAATGTGGTCTGTGATTTTGGGCTAGGGTTTCGACTCGGTGGGAGCGACAAGGGTTTAGGGTTTAGGGTTTAGGGTTTAGACCTGCCTCAAACTCCCCGCTGTGGACAATGAAGAAATAACTGCCTGCGGAGCAAATTGTAAGCCAAAAGCCCTAAACCCTAAACCCTAAACCCTAAACCCTAACCCAAGATCGCCAGCCCAGCAATGGGCCACCGGCCGTTCAAACTATCACCCGGAACCCCTAAACCCTAAACCCTAAACCCTAAACCCTAAACCCTAACAAAAAGGCCCTAACCCTAAACCCTCACAATCTCGAAGCCCCAGCCTCAACCCCCAAACCCCAAGCCCCAGAAGCTGCCGGCGAAAACCCTTGGGCCCGCTGCCCCTCCCAAAACCCAAAACCCTAAACCCTAAACCCTAAATCAGGGTTTACCGCTCTCCCCCTGTTTAGTGACAACGTCTCCCTTTTTGAAAGTGAAGAACTCCACCGCGTTCGCCAAAGCCTCCACTTCCGCGTCATTTAAAGAAGAACAAACTAAATTAGTTGAAAGAGAATCCCGAATTAAAGACAAGTCCGAAGGAGTTTTCTCCCGCTTCTCGAGGTGACCCTGCAGCAGCAGCAGCAGCAGCAGCAGCAGCAGCAGCAGCGGGTCCCGCGCCGCAGCGGCACAAAAAACGGCAGCAGCAGCAGAAAAAGCAGCGCAGCAGCAGAAAAAACGGCAGCAGCAGCAGCAATAGCAGCGCAGCAGCAGAAAAAACGGCAGCAGCAGCAGGTCACGCAGCCGCAGCAGCAGCAGCAGGTCAAGCAGCCGCAGCAGCAGAAGCAGCAGCAATTAGGTGCAGCAGAAACCGCAGCAGCAGCAACACAGCCTGCAGCAGCAGCAGTGGAGGCTGCAGAAGCAGCAGGTCGGGCGGCAGCAGCAGCAGTGGGATAGCAGCAGCAGCAGGAGCAGCAGCAGCAGCAGCAGGTAAAGCAGCAGCAG